CTTTACGATCCGTGACAGGCGTGCCGATCGTGTCGAGGAACGGAGACAATTATCATACGAATGTATGATACGGATCTTTGTCAAGTTTCTGACGATTGTAATTTAGCACTGTTTCGAAACTTCGCGGCTTCTAATTTGGATAATTTCTTTCATCTGATTATGTTAGGAAATTTGATGTTCCTTAATATGAACTCATTAAAAATCAAATGTTCTGAAACAAAATTACTTTATTTACTGTTCACGCGTTAAAGTGGATAAACGTACGGTAATGTTTTTCAACGGAAAATGCTATAGTAAAAGGGTTGAAGTAGCTGTTTCTGTTTCCTGAACCAGGCAAAAGAGTTCCTCACCCCCGTTACCCAGGCAACAGCTTTTTATGCGTTCGTTGATATTAAGCCGGAACGATGTTTAAACCATGAGTTCGCTCGCCAGCTTCCGCATCATTCCATCCCTCGGTCAAACAGCACCGTCGGGGATTTTGTAGGGGCTGATCACTTTTTTTCATTTCTCAATGTCGACTTCGTTCCCTCGCACGCCACAGAACACCATCCATATCCCATAGTATCCGCGTTTCATCGATACTTTTCTTCGTAATCTAAGTTCATTTTTTTCTTTTTCATTTTTATTTCGATGCTTTGAAAGATGCGAAATTGCAATTTCCATGGCATTATGGAAAAATGAAGGAGATAGGTAACACAAGTTTTTAAATTTTGAAATTCTTATTTTATACACTTCCTGATGTAGGTATAATAATTACTACAGACTTTTAATCAACCGTATCATAAGTAATCATGTAAGACCATCGAATACTAACAAAAAAGACATTAATAAACCGGAAGTTGGTGAACTGATGAAAAAACCGCTAGAACCAGAAGGGCATTCCATTTCCAAGTGCCATTAACGACAACTTAATCGTGAGCCCGTTGGTAAACGTATCATTTGCGTATTAACATTTACATTGCTATGCAAGAGAAACGGAGAGAGAGGGAAAGATCAAAATAAAGGATAGAAAAACTAGCAAACAGTGTCAGCGTTGTCTTCCGCTCGACTCATCGTCAGTCGATTTCCGTATCGCGAACAAGTTACCTCATCGAAAGTTCTCAAATATTTATAATAAAAATTCATAAAACTCCAGTTTAATTAACTGAGATCGTGAATTAAATGATCGTGAAACAGTTATACAGTTGCCATCTTAAATAGAAAATAAAATAGAATTCTTATTTTAAAAGATTGCTAATACGAACTAGTGATAATTGTTAAGGATCAATAAACATTGTAATAAAAATTAATAATTTTATACGTTATAAGTAACTAAATCTACTCCAAAAAATGATCGCGAGTCTGCAACAATGTGTAAATGAAAAATAAAATATTATTTTGGAAGTTTTGAAAATTTCAATTAGTGATAATTAATAAGGAAAAGTAAACGTTGTAAGGAAATCAAATTTTCTAGAAAAATGATGAAAAATGATCATAAGTTGAATTTACTTGTAATATAAGCAACGTTGCCTTCAGTTTTTATCAAGCCGATGATTATCGTTGATAATGACACCTCTTCGATCGTATAATACGTTCGAATGAAAAAGCAGCGAGCAAGAAAAGCGTCGCGGAAAAAAGCGAATAGCTTCTTGAGAACGGGCGTCGCGACGCTCTCTCGTTGGAACGATGTGAAAACGAAAGGAATTTTTTCGATGCAGCCCACTTTTTACACTCACTATAAATTATCGTGTCTCGTTAATTTTGTTATCGGAGACAAAGCGGAAAAACGGATAGATACGAGAAGAATCTGACTGAGAATTTATTTCCTTTACCATTGAAAATTCTATTCGAATTCAAAGATGGATCCGCATGAACCGACGGGAGAAAAAGATTTTCAATGAAATTGTTTTTTCAAAGCTGTGAGTTCAACATTGAAAATTTGATAAGTGTGTTGTGATTAGTTTTAAATGGGAAAATTGATTAAAAATGAAGAAAATGAGTGAATGGTTTTGAAAACTATGAAAATAATGGATGTAGAAGAATTTATCGTTATACTGTGTTTTTTCAAAAGTACTGATGTTATTGAGTGTTAAATTTTCTTACAATAGAGCTACGATTTTAGAGGAAACTGAAACTGGTAAGCATAAGAATTAACAAATTTTGAAGTTTTAAAAGTTTGGAATTTTGAGAGGAAACCATGCCTACTTAAATAGTTACGCCAATGATTTTTATTATCATATTACACGCTTGTTCCACTGTAATAGTCATCGTGTTGAAATAATGATAAATGACACCAGTTTTTAATTAATAAATTTAAATAAACACCACTTATCCTAAGGCAATAAATGTAAGGAAATAATTAAGTGCACTATAAATTTACAAGAAAATATTCATTCAAATTTATGGAATGATAAATTTTCATTAGAACAATACGTATATGCACTTTGCAATCTACTATATGTCACTTATTTATTTTAATTTGAATAAAGACCAAATTATTGTTTAATAAATATTTAATAACATTCACTGAATGTAAATATACAAACTATTTCTTATAGAAAAATGTGCAGATTCTGGAGTTTAAACATGTTTTATGCTTTAACTCTTATACAACGTTACAACTGTTAATTATATGTAACAAAAAATCATCATCAATCGGTTTTTATGAAAATACGAATTCATGAATATGAACCATAATGAAAGTGTAATTACTTTATTATACAACAAATTAAACTGCTCGGTTAAATGAATGGAAAAAAGGAACAAAGAATTGATCTGAAATGGTAATGATGCTTGCACAATGCAGTATATTACATGAATTTATCCGCAAAAAGTCACGATTAGGTATTTCGTGTTGGTATCTTCTTTTTTTCTTTAATGTTTCTTGCTGCATATTTTGTATACTTAAACTCAATTAGGAATTGAAAAGAATGAAAATAACAAGCACATAGTTTTTCATTGTTAAAAATTCCACACCAGTGCACGTCAGTGATGAAACACCGGAATGTGTTTATACATTGAATCACTTGCAATCATAATACCACGACTGAAGCATTTGAATCGCAAATAGGGAACTGTTTTTTTCACGATTCTATGATCAAGCAAACAAAGGGAAACGGATCAATGTCGGGGTTGACCTAACTTCCGTTTATTGGTAACACACGTACGAACAAACTCATTGTCGATAAAATGAAGATTATTTATTTCTTCCATCCACTGTAACATAAAACCCCTAAATATTATTATAATATTAATAATAACAGTACAAGAACCATTCTAAAATTACATATCTCATCTTCTTTATTCCAAACAAAATTTTAACCATCTCCAAATTTTAAATAATTCTAACTCAGTCTCTAATTTTACAGATCAGCAACCCTGTCCAACGAAGCCACCAATGAAAAGGACAATGATTAAAGAACCGAAATCAAAGTAACAGAGAAAATGACAGCGTACCATAAATCACCAGCAGACATTCCGTGGATGTTATTACCAGCCTGCGACAATTTGACCGACTTCGTGGGTCATTCCCGTGGCCTTGACTTAGCTCTTGACCTGCGACCAGAGCGCAACATCAGCGAACTCGACCACCTGTTCCACTTGGAGACTTTGAACAACGTAACATGTCTGGAACACGCTCCTCAACTAACCAGCGGCACTTTTTTCAAAGTGATCGTATTATCTGTCATGGCGTGCCTAAGTTTCATAGGAAATGTAGCAACCATCTGGTCGATCGCGAGGAACCGTCGAAGACAGCACAGTTGTTCTGCGATCTACACCTTGATCCTCCATCTAGCTGTGGCTGATTTATTGGTCACGGTGTTCTGTATCGGTGGTGAAGCTATGTGGAGCTATAGCGTTGCATGGATATGGGGAAACGTGGCGTGTAAGATGTTCAAATTCTTACAGGTGTTCAGTTTGTACCTGAGCACTTTTATTCTGGTGCTGATCGGAGTGGACAGGTTTATAGCTGTTAGGTTTCCTATTAAGGGACTGAATACCGCTCATAGGTGTCTGAGACTGGTCGCTGTTTGCTGGGTATTGTCATTCATCTTGGCTACTCCTCAGGTAGAGAATTTATTTTTATTTAATTCTTTAAAATTCAAATTTTTTGAAATTTAATAGTTAGCCTAATACTTACAATTAAGTTTCTACCTCGAGCTCTGTTTTTTTTTTTTAAATATTCATGCAACGTGGAAAGTACCTTTATCGTTTCCTAATTTGATAATCATTAGCAGAAATTGCTGTCGCGAAAACTAGATTCACACACGAATTCTAACGAACTTCGGAAGATTCGTCTACTCCCGGGCCAAATGAGAAGATCGATCCGTGAAACGAAGCAGTTTGAGTGGCTCGTTCCGTCGCAATTAAAAAGCAATTTATAGCAGCTGACATTCGGCTACCGGCAGAAATCCAACGGATAAATTAAAAGTTTACCTAGTACCTTTCTTTTTCCTTAAATAAATGTCGAGGACGTAGATACGAGAAATGTCAGGGAAAACCAGACGTTCAGAGTATGAAAATAGAAATAATATTCATATAACCATTCGTCTGGTAAATAACGAGTAATTGCGTTACATCCGTAACCGTGGAAAAACTTATCTATTAGTATAATATTGAGTCAGAGTGGGGAGAGAAAAAAAAAGTGTCGCGAAAACCAGTTTCTCTGCTCTGATCAATGTTTTTCTCCCCCGGACAGCTTAGCATTTATCGAACTTAACGCTTAATTAACGCGTTCGATACGCTAATTAAAAAAATTCTCGTTAACCATACCAAGGATCTTATTTAACGTTATGGTAATTTTTCAATGTACCTGGATACTATCAAATTGCCTGCTCATCGCAGGGATTAATTAACTTTATTCTGCGAAGTGTTTTATCACCGATTTAAAAATGATAAACCTACGAATGTGTACATATTTATTTATGAGCTTTTTGTGCACTTCGATTCTGAAAAAGAATCATTAAAATTAATTGGCCAAAAAATTTGTATATTTTTACTCTCAAAAACATTATTACAAGATTACTATTAAATTAGACAAAATAGAATATTGTATAAAGAGTAACATGCACTCGAAGAGACACGTTTGGAAGAAATAAACAGATAGCAGTAAAAACTCGTATACACTTGATAAGAATATAAATACGTTCAAAAATAATTATCTTTCCAAAGATACATTTTCCATGAAGAAAGTTGCTTTTCGAATCTTCCATATCGACGACAATTCAAGGAACTTTATTCCTAGCAATTCTTGTCCCACTAGAAAACACTTGTAATTACTAATTCTTGCAACTTTGTTCGCAACAAATTTCAATCACTTCACCTACCCTGCTTTTCTCATTTTTCATCCCCAACAAACGCTCTTTCCGCGAATTTCTTGCTAATTACGTTCGTTACAGTTTTCCTTCTACTAAATTTCTTCCATCCCTTGCAAACCCGCTTCATCAGTCCAACAAAATAAATTACAGTTACTCGGATAAATTGCTGCTATTTCAAGCTCTGCATTGTCACCCCCTCGAGATTAACGCTTCTACTGCTTACACCCCTAACCACTTATCATTTTTTGTTAAAGAAACAATCCTTGAAATCGGTTTCTTTTCCTTGTTCTAATAAGGAACACTTGTTTTCTTTGAAATATGTTATCAGTTATGATTGTGCCACCATAGAAGAATACGAACTTACGTTTCTAATCGGTTATCGAGGATACGGAGGACACGGAACTACGCTCGCTCTCCTCGTAAGCCTCGATTGGCAGTTCCATAGATTTCGTCTCCTCAAAATTGTCAACAGTTCGAGGTGTTATGGCTCGCTTCATTCTACATTGATCGCGTCTGTTTATGATACCGCCGCATTTACACCTCTTCTTCTTCCTTCTCCTGCGTCTTCGTTTCCGTCTCCTCGACTTTCTCCTCTTGCATCTGCAGTATTTCTTCGTTCGCCTTCTCCTCCTTCGTCTGCGCCGTCGCTTCTTGCATTTACACCCCATCTTCTTCTGCATTTTCGTTTTGCGACAAATGTCCAACAGGTTCACCTCCTGCTCCGCGATCTCCTGTAGCCTCATCTCGCTGTTGGTTGGTAGGATATAGTGGCCGCCATTCTTCTTCAGGATCCCGTAAGCCACGCCGCGTTTCAAAGCTGTTTGCATCTGTTGGCGAACACCATTTAGGGAAAAGTAAAGTGTAGGAAAAAGATAGCTTACACGGCGAATATTCTATTGTTTAATTTCCTCAAGGGATTATTTTACTTAAGTTCTAATTAAGTTCTAATAGATGGTATTTTTATTTTTACCAAATTTCGTTTATCATTTTTGCAATATTTAACAATAAGGATAAGGAATAGCTAACCTGACGACGGGCCGCATCCGGAGAAATGTCATAGATGTTCGAGATGTAATTCAAAATTTCTTTTGAAGTCGAGCCTTTCAGTTCTCGAAGGTTTCTGATCGCCGTAACGACCAGCGCGAAAATTTTAGCTGAATCGTTCACCATGGTTGTAACTACAGGATCTTCGGACTGCAGTTAAGGGGTGTCAAATGAATGTATTTAAACTCAAAGTAATTCTTCAAAATCTTGCAATTTTAATTAGAACTATCATCTACCTTAACAACCAAAATAATAAACCGATGCTTGGACAGTCCGTGCACCTGTTACTTCCACAAATTCTTTTCATTGAGACCGAAGGAACTTGTCAATCCATAATTAGACAAATTTAAGCTTTTTTCAAAAAGACACGATGAATTTTCCGTTTGAAAACGTTTAGCCAAAATTTCTATTCTGCCACATTTCTGATGAATAGGCGACGATTCAGCAGTTGTTTACAATTGAACGATGATGTTTCGAGCGTGTTCGGTTTTGCGAGAATTAAACGAAGAAAAATATTGGAACGATATTTAAAAATTCTAATCGAAATAAAAAAAAATCAAATTAAATTTTACTATATCTTTTTTTCTTCTTCATTGTTTTAACCTTAAGTTTCAAATTCAGACCATGTCAGACTTTCTATCTTTCAAAATAATCCATTTGATAATTTTCTTTTCTTTTATTTACAGGTTATTATATTCCACATTGCTCGAGGACCATTCATTGAAGAATTCACACAATGCGTGACCCATGGTTTCTACACAAAAGCGTGGCAGGAACAGCTCTACGTATCCCTAAGTTTATTCTTCATGTTCCTTCTTCCACTAGCCATTCTTATCGCCACCTACGTTTCTACTGTAATCACAATTTCTCGTAGGTGTATTTCAATTTCAAACCTCCAGCTCGAAATTTAAAACATATAATTTTAAACAAATGATAGGTTTTAAAAATATATACCTTTGTTTAAAATGAATTTCAGGAAGCGAAAGAATGTTCAAACTTGAGTTAACCAATAACAATTTATATCACGTGAATAGAAACATAAATATAAATCGAAGAAAATTAATGCATCGAGCAAAAGTGAAATCATTGAGGATCAGCGTGGTGATCGTGGCAGCTTTTGTGCTTTGGTGGACACCGTACTATACGATGATGATAATACTTATGTTCCTTAATCCTGACAAACGCGTAAGTATATTTTTATTAACATTGCAAGTGAAAAGTTAAGAGGTGATATATGAATTACTTGAATTTTTCCAAGCTTAGTTTCTGTAAAATTAGTTTCAAGTATTTGAAATCGATACGTTCAATCCTTGAAATAAGCCAACGAAGTTCGATATTTACAGCTCAGCGAAGAATTACAAAGCGGAATATTCTTCTTTGGTATGAGCAACAGTTTGGTGAATCCTTTGATATACGGCGCATTTCATCTCTGGCCACCAAGAAAACGTCAGAGTTCTTTTCACAGGTAAATCCTTTCTTTTAATAACGCAGAAACATGTCTATGAGTGACGCTGAGACGTTGTACGCATGCTCGAAAACAAGGCAGAAAAATGTTATATGTGTACTCTTACAATGATAAATGACCACTCAATTAGCGCCAGTGTTGGTCGCCGTGGGGTTTTAATCAATAGGAATCTGGCGGCAAAAAAAAGGAACTAAATTTTGCAAAAATTTAAATTTAAAATTATTTTTCACGCGACTTTACTTACCTTTACTTACCTTTACTCGAGCAGTGGCCATAAGTATTTTATTTATAATATATTTATCAAATGTTAACTGATTAATTCCCCGTGCATAGCACGGGGCGTTCCACTAGTTAATGTAAAAATACAAAAAATCCTTTTTAAGAAAGGATAAGGTTATTCAATGAGAATGTGAATATGTTAAGAATTAATGAGAAAATAAATATTTTATACATTATAAGATAATTATAATGTCCCTTTCAGAGATTTGTCAACGACGCAACGCCGAATTACACCGACGATCAACAACGAAAATGGCTGTAGACGAGAATCACGTGAAACGCGAATACCAATTCTTTCCAAAAGTAATTCAAATACTGGTATCTGAGAAGATATAAGAGTACGCAGGGTGTCTCATACAACGGGGGCAAGCTATAGCTATGTCAATATTATAATTCTTCTTATTATATTATAGTAAAATATTGTACTACAATTGTTTCATTAATAAACTGTGAAACATGTTAACTAAATCCCCCTTGTTGCAAAATGAGAAATCGCAATTTCTTGCTATACAGTAGTCATTTCCTGCTGAAGCGCATCAGTCTACCTTCTGACATTCCCATTTTTCGACCATAGTCCCATCTATGCAAAAATGGATCAAACTATTCGACGTGTTACCGATCGATTTGCTTTCTTTCTTTCTTTTATTAATACGTAGCGCCATTTATCGGAAAGAAGGGGAAGTTACACGACAATTTACCGACTGCCGGAGGAACAGTCGATAAGTCGACAACTTATCTCTTTTCTCAACACTAAATATAACGGTAGGCTGTTCCCTACATTCTCTTCAGCCCTACATTCTTTTCATCCCTACATTCTTTTCATCCATACATTCGTTCCATCCCTACATTCCTTACATCGCTTCATCCCTTACATCTCTGCATCCCTTACATCTCTGCTTCCCTTACATCCCTGCATTCCTCACATCTCTACATCCCTTACACCTCTGCAGTCCTCACATTCCTGCCATCTTTATATCCCAACATCCCTTACATGCCTGTAACCTTTACATCCTTCTATCACTTATATTCCTGTATTCCAAACATCCCACGACCTCCCTGAAATTGAGTCGAAATTTTTGCGGCTATAAGGCCTGCGGTTTTATACAAATTTAGTTCCTTTTTTCGCCACCAGAGGGCGCTGGTTCGACATCGAAATTTTAGTTCGCATTTTTCCCGCCAGAGGGCCAAAAATTGAGCAAAGTTTAGTTCCTTTTTTCGAAACCAGAGGGCGCTGATTCGACGTCGGAATTTTAGTTCACATTTTTCCCGCCAGAGGGCCAAAAATAGAGCAAGGTTTAGTTCCTTTTTTCGAAACCAGAGGGCGCTGATTCGACATCGAAATTTTAGTTCGCATTTTTCCCGGCAGAGGGCCAAAAATAGAGCAAGGTTTAGTTCCTTTTTTCGAAACCAGAGGGCACTGATTCGACATCGAATTTTAGTTCGAATTTATGCCTCTAGGGGGCGCTGTTTTTTCGAAATTTTCGCGAAATTCTCAAACTTTACTTACCTTTACTTACCCTAACTTACCTTTACTCGTAGCAGTCTTTATAATATATTTATTATAAGGGATGCAGAGATGTAAGGAATGTAGGGATGAAAAGAATGAAGGGATGAAAAGAGTGTAGGGATGAAAGGAATGTAGGGATGAAAAGAATGAAGGGATGAAAAGAATGTAGGGATGAAAGGAATGTAGGGATGAAAAGAATGAAGGGATGAAAAGAGTGTAGGGATAAAAAGAATGTAGTGATGAAAAGAATGTAAGGATGGAAAGAATGTAGGGATGAAGAGAGTGTAGGGACGAAAAGAATGTAGGGATGAAAAGAATGCAGGGATGTAAGGGTTACGGAGATGTAACGAGGCGAGGGATGTAAAGAAATCCCGCAGGGGTCTGGTGGCTGGGGCCCCGGTCTCCATTGCACGCGGCCGGTGGAGTACCGGCATCGGGTGTGGTCCCCGATGTCGGCGGAGTTTGGCATATGGCGGTGGGTCAAAGGACCCTCTCTACCGCCCTAGTACAGGCCACCGTGGTGGTTTTAGTGGGTAAGAATCCCACACTACCTCCAGTCCCTCCCCAGAGGGGCTGAAGGTGTCTTTCTGAAGATTTCCACCACGTTAATAAAAAAAAAAAAAAAAAAAGCGTATTTAAGAATTGCAGGAATGTAAGGAATGCTGGGATGGAAGGAATTCAGGGATGTAAGGGATACTGAGATAGCCTTGGCCTATATTGAGGTATAAAATTATATAAGTAACTGGAAAAAGTAAAATAAATGGGGTCCTCCGCTGAGACCCAGAAGAGGGATATAATCATAAATGTTACTCCCCTCCGATGAGCTTATTTAATAACCAAAAAAAAATAAATGAAGTAAATTAAATTAACTCTGGAAAAAAATTATGCTGATTGTGCCCTCTTCATACGGACCTGACAGTGTCCAGGGATGTTAGGGACCCCGCTGCACCAATGACCCCCTTTGTGTACCAACCTGATATCACATTGGGGTATTAAGGGCCCCAAATCGCCGGTAAGTATCTTTGCATACCATTAATATAGTATCCGGGGTGCCAGGGACCCCGAAGTAACAATTACTATCTCTGCATACCGACATGATATCATCTTGGGGTGTCAGCAACCCCGAAACACCGGTGACACTCTTTGCTTACCGACCCTATGGCATTCGGGGTATCAGGGACCCCGGTGTATCGGTGGTGCTCTCTGTATACCGACATATCATCTTGGGGTGTCAAGGACCCCGAAGCAGCGGTAACTGTCTTTACATATCGATATTATGGCATCTGGGTACTCAGGGACCCCGAAGCACCGGCGACACTCCTTGCTTACCGACACTACGGCGATCGGGATATCAGGGACCCCGAGAATAATCTTGGGGTTCTCAGGCACCCCGAATGCCATCTTGGGGTTCTCAGGAACCCCGAACGCCATCCTGGGGTTCTTAGGCACCCCAGATATCATCTGGGGTTCTCAGGCACCCCGAATGCCATCCTGGGGTTCTTAGGCACCCGAGATATCATCTTGGTGTTCTCAGGCACCTCGAATGCCACCTTGGGGTTCTTAGGCACCCAGAATACTACCTTGGGGTTCTCAGGAACCCCGAATATCGTTTTGGGGTATCAGGGACCCCGAAGCAAGTAGCGAAATATAAGACCTAAAGACGAACAAATCGTGTAACTCACTTGTTCGGAATAGTGATGGATATGACCGGATCTAGCGAAATATAAGACCTAAAAACGAACAAATCGTGAAACTCACTTGTTCGGGATAGTGATGGGTACGACCGGATCTAGCGAAATATAAGACCTAAAAACGAACAAATCCTGAAACTCTCTTGTTCGAGGTAGTGATGGGTACCACCGGATCTGTAGGGCATGGGCATTACAATTATTTATTATAAAATAAACTTGTAAATAATTAAGAAATTATTCACTCACAAACAATGAAAATGATATATTTGTAAATCACAAACGATTTCCAATCAATTACAGTTATCAGTTATCGCAAAATCTGTTTATTATAAAAGATTACTAAAAAGTTTCGGCTCACATCATGACTGAAATAAAATTGTTAATTACAAAAGAAGTAATTTGTCACAAACTTTAAAAGTAGACTCACAATCAATTACAAACGATTTGCAAACGAAATACGCTAAGAGAAATTAAAAATAATCGAATGTCCAGTGTTTTACATCACTGCACGTGGGAAACACTTTCATGGTATAAATTAGGTATTCAAAAATAGTAAGAACGTCATATATTTTAAACGTCGTGATTATTACAGAGGTAATAACATCACATAAACGACGTTCTATTTTAATTACCAATTACTTGTATTTTATTAAATACATGTCTTTTATATACTTTCATTGAAAATACGCAATATAACCTTGCATGGATAAAGTCGTGTGCTAGTTGAGAAGAATAATAATACATCTTTTTACTTTATTAGTAAAAATGTAATCTATTAAAAATTATCTATTAAAAATGTAAATAAAACTTCATATAGTGAAAATAATTACTGTGCTATATTTTACGAATTAAAATGTAATGAATAAAGTTCTTTAGTTGTGTATTTAATATTTGATAAGGATATGTATCTTAATAGTACAACTAAAAGATTAAAATTTTTTTCAGATATCAATATGCATGTATTAAAGCCATATAAAAAATGTTTACACCTATTAAGAAAAAGGAGAAAAGATAGTACATCAGATGATAATTCACAGAACGATAATCAATCATCTACAAAAATGGATACACCTGTAAAAAATGCTAGGAGAGATGAAACATTAACAGAAAATGTTATGAAAGATATATTAAATACAACAGACAGTGATACTAAGAAGTGTCAATATTCCAAGGATAGCTATATAAATAAAGAGGAAGATCCAACTGTGATGAAACATAACAACAAAGACAATAAAATAATGAGTGACAGCCAAAAATCATTAATTAGCGTCCGTAAAATAGAAGATTTATGTAAAACTCCACAGAAAAATAATGTATCTAACAATTTAGAAAACACAGAAAATATTAAAGAAGAAAATATAAATAGTCCTAATATTTCTAGCCCCTTTATTTCAAACATAAATTCATTGGAATGGAATTCTCAAAGTATTAAATCTTTATTAGAAACACCTATGGCTTGTAAAAAAGAAATGCATGATTTTGATAATAATACACCTAACAGACAAAAAAAAAGAAAATTTAGTCTTGATGTAAGTGACATTGATCAGATGTCTGATCCACTGAAATTAGAATTCTTACCAGATATGGAAGCTATTGATATGTTGCATGATTTAAATTCTATAATAGACTTTGAAGACATAAAAATACCTCCAGATATTTTCACTTCAACAGCTAACAATACCATGCACAATGAGTATGATGTAGAAATATCCAAAGATCCACTAACTGATCCTCTTTATATTACAAGTAATGATGAGCATGATTTAACTGCTGAAAATGTTAATTATAAAAACAAGAGGAAACGAATAAAAAATCCGCGAAGTACAAATAGACAAGTCAAGAATGAAGAGTCTAGTGCCCAACATAATGCTAAAAGTGCTGAAAAATCGAAACCCGATACTAATTATCTAAAAGATATCTTAGGAGAGTTGGATATTGAATTAGAATCGGAAACGGAAAATGAAGAAAAAACATTTGAACCTGATTTACGGGTAAACAGATCTAAATAAAAATATTGCATTATATGTATATTTAATTCCATTATTTGTTTTTATTTTTATAGAAATTGTATAATTTGCAAGTAAAGATAATACACGATGTACCGAAACAACATACAATTGAACATACATCAGGTACAAGAGCATTAACAAGATCTGAAAAACAACTATTTTTAGAATATGGTCCAATAAAAAGTGGTACGTTTTCACCTAAAGAAGATAAAATCATTTTGAATAATTGGAAAACATTTTGTGAGGTATGTCCAATTAATGTTATTAATATTATAATGGTTGTTTTTATCGATTAACTGTCTTTTATATAGATTCATGAATGGGATCCGAAACACGTGAAGCCATTTATATGTATGAAATACGGTACAAAATTTTATATGAGAACCAAGGAACAAAGGAGAAAATTTGTTCAGTTTCTAGGAAATGGTTTACCATGGAGACCATTATTTAGTATTTATCGTCGGTTTAGATATCTACATGAAGATCACGCAAAAAGTTTCACTAGGTAATTCGCGTTAAAAATTTAAATACTGTTTATTTAATTACCTAATTTAACATATTTCTAGATATACATTATACGAAGATCAACAAATTTTATCTCATATGAAGAAAAAGAAAAAGAAAAAGAAATCAAATACAACATTTGCCGAACTAGCGAAAATGTTAGGTCGTTCAAGTCACTCGATAAGGTTGCGCTATAAGCTACTAAAAAAGATGAGGGGAGATAAAAAAAAAAACCGCAAGTTCCTTTTAAATATAGAATTAGTTATAAAATAAGTTTAACATTGAAAATTACAAATGAATTTTATTACAGCATTATCAGAAGTTACATGGACTTTATCATTAGTTGGTGAGTTCATAAAATCCTTCGTGGATATAACATTATGCGAGAATGTAATTGAATTAAAAGATGCAAGCATTCCCAAAGTAGTTTGGTTAAAATTGGAAGAAAAACTGAACATAGATCACGATGTATTGAAACTATTCTGGATATATCAGTTACACATGCAATTATTTTGTCCGGAACCTATTTATTTAAATGACATAAAAATAAAACTGATCGAGTAGTAAGTTATTAATCTTCGATATAATTAATACACGTTTGTGTACAGTGTTATCACTAATTGTGTAAACATTTTAAAAATGTTATAGCATCTATGAAAAAGGAATCGGACATACAAGAGAAATAATTTGGCCTAAGGTTGCAAAATTTTTTGATGGAATCACTACTATATTTTTATGTAAAACATTTTGTAATCTTGTAGCAGAAGCTAGTACAAAACTTGATACAAGTAACTTCAGTGGTAAGTTTACAAAATTAAAAAACCATAAATATTGAAATTGTTTTTAATATAATAATAACTTTCTACATATTTAGAGATCATTGAATACTTATATATTGAAAAGATACCGGAAATACAAAATGAGCGAACAGACAAGTTCCTTCCTAGACTTTCGTATGGAAACGGGAAGGTTAAAATTATAGATAAAGATCCGCCCAAAGAATAACTAACTCTACTAACGATGCGGTAAACGGAAAATCAGAGATAAATACGAGTGTTTATAAAAATTTAAATTTAGAATTTGTCTGTAAATATATTTCCTAAATTTTTGAACTAAAAAAAATTTTTTTATATTTACACTTCTTTTTAAAAAGATACCATTATTATTTATTTACCGATGTTTATACATTATACATACATTCCATCGTTTTCCTCATACCTTCACAAAATTGCCGTTTAAACTTTATTCTTCTTGGATTCTTTCTCCAATGCCTTCTCTTTTGCTCTTTGATACAATGGTACCAGTTTACCTTCTTTAGCGAGCATTTTAAGTAACTCCATTATTAATGGCAAATAGTTATGCTTTCTACGAATATTTTCGATCTGATATCTTTTAGATTTTCGAATTTCTTTTTCAATTAACGTCTGCAAGCGCTCTAACTCTGCTGGATCGCAAATATTAGCTTTTTGTCGCTCGTAAAGTGTTTTTCTATCCGTTACTATTGCCATTAAATTAAAATGTATTTCTCCTTCGTTGTACCTACGAATATCATTTATATAATTAATATTTAGACAAAATGCGATAGTCGTTCAGTAATTCACTGCTTTCGAGACTTTGAAAACGAATTTCTCTAACGCTGTGAATATGATAAAACAATGAAGGGCAAGGATAGCGATGAGGTGAGCAACAATGTAAATGATAATAAAAAAATTGCGAAGAAAACATTGCTCTGTTAGGCCTCATAATTCTCCTCGCTTCGCCGGTCTACTATAATCCCAGATAATTATCGCCCATCAATGACATGCGTGCTTTCTTCGCAATCTACTTAGGTGCGAAATAAACACAATACAGCTGTACATTCACTGTTAACGTGCAAGACAGTGTGGGGTATTCAGGTACGTCGGTCGCTTCTAACAAAATATCATCGAATGGCTATTGGACGTGCAATAAAAAAGGCATTTACTTATTTATTCTTTTTTGTATTATAGGTTTCGCTGCTTGAACCCATTGATCCCCAGGCGGACACGGACCTAAATCCATTGGTCCATCTTTTAATCCATCTAACTCATATAATCGTCCGTCAATTGGTACGTAGCTAACAAAGTGAAATACATCATCATCTTTAGATGCTTGCTTTGAATCATATTCAAACAATGTTTGCCTGTAATAAAGGAGCATTATTTTGTATAATTTCAGCAATTCACATTTGACACTATCAATAGATGTGTTAAAGTAGCACATTAGAAGTACCTTGAAAAAGAATTATGCACTTCTCTTATCACATCAGAATTACTAAGAGCAAGTCCTCTCATGTTGGCATCAAAGCTTTGACAAAAGTTTTTGAATTCCTCCAAATTTGGCCCCAATGATATATCAGAATGTTTACAATTTAATAATACACTTAATATTGCTTGAGTTGCACAAGCATTATTAATCACCTAAAAAGAACAAGAAACATTAATTTGCATTATAGTTTACAATTATTGAAATGATGACATTTGATGGAAGTCATAATGATACCTGTTTTGCAAAAAATATTTTGTCCAGTCTATTGTCTAAAACAATATTTCCAGAAGGTTCATCATCTTGCACCCATTTGAATAAAAATATCAAACCATGTATAGGCCTGAAACATAAATGATAAAAATAGTATGTAAAATACTATTAACTGGTAAATATTCTTTCCAGGTGATACATTTATACTTCTGGAAATTTCTATTTTGTTTTTATATGAAATTTTTAACTTTAAAGCATTATAAACTGCATAATATCAAAAGTGTCATTTAGTATTGTCATTGTATTCCCACACAGGTTATGTCATATAAATAGAATACTCACTTTAAATTATCGAATTGTTCATCATCCAAACTCCATAATTCTTCCACTTGAGCTCCTTTAACACCTTAAAAAAGAAAAAACCTCTTAACAACGTTAAAAATACGTGATATTAAATTAAAACATAGTTCAAAAACGAACTACACAAAGCACCTATTAATAGAGATAGATATTCTTAATATATGCATACGCGTATTATTTTCAAATCATATGTATGTGTATGATAGATCTGTAAATACAAAAGTTAAAATTTACCAAATTCTTTTATTAATTCGGTGAAAACTCCAGGATCACTTTCAATAAGACACCAATTCCCCGCTGAGTCCGCCATGTTTTCTTGATTTACCACAATTTGAAAAGATATTTCCTTTTTTTAACCCGGTCTTTGGAATTATTCAAAGTACCTATAAAGTGAATCGTATTGGAATTGCATAATATAATGAATGTTTCATTAATTATTACTCAAAATAATGTAAAAGCTAAAGTTAATTTGTTAATAAAAATAAAATTACTTTTCTTAATTGTTGTATATTTACAGCTAATAATTTTGACATACTTTGTTTATATTGTTAAAAATTTGGTAATAAAATACTGCAGCTTGTTAAATCATCATTTACATTAAGTTTGCACATAACAAACTTAACAAATCCAATATCTTTATTATTGAAACCAAAATGAATAAAAAAATTGTTCGCATGATTATTAAAATTATATTTTAAATATAATAATATTATTCAAAAATTTCATTAAAAATGTATTTACATAGAAACAGTTGAATCTTTCAACTTTTTACAATTTTATTAGTGCATGGACAGTATCTTATAACTAAAAGTGACTGATTAAATAATCATAATTAGGAATCGTACGTAACGCCTTAAGCATAAAATATTTACACAAATTACCAGCACAGCCTGATTTATTAAGTGGTTGTTGGAATAATCAAACATGAAAAAGTTATATAGTTCCTTCATAATCAGCAATCAATATTATAATGCTAAAGTACAATTTACACTATGTACAAGCAATAAATTAATTGAAATTTCAAAATATATTAAACTAATGATCGTTGACACTGTTCGTCAATACCAATCGTATCAACAAACTATTTAACAGCATGTATTAGACTTACAATAGACTGTAGGATATAAGTTTATGCGAGTGAAAAATATGTAAAAATAATTTACGATTGTTTGAAATGAAACAACTTTGATTACTGATTTACAGCAGAAAAAATTTTTCAGAACTTGGTAGAAAAAAAACAATAAATAAACTATCATACAAAGCCAAATGCACATACATCGGTAATATAGCCGATCAATTTTTATTTTTATACTTTATAAATAGATTTGTCAGCAAATTTTTAAATTTAATTTATTCGTGAGTAATCACTAGCATTGATAGCATTTGGCTAAAAATTTTATTGAAATGCTGTTGTCTAAATATGTATTGTGGATGGATGTAATGAAAATCGCATAAATTTATGACGAAATACTATATGCAGCTTGTATATATCAGCATTTCTTGTTCAAGCACCTAGCATTGCATTGTTCGATTTTGACATTAGTTATTATTTTCTGTTTGACATAATGACGACAGAATATCCTCATACCGCCGCATATTTGTTTCAAATGTTTCCAACTGTTTAGTGAGGTCTCCTACTTGCTCTGCAAGTGTCCTTTCCTCCATGAAAGCTTGAAGTTGAGGTGCACTTTGACATTCGCGATAGAACGCTCCTAAATCGCTGTTGGTGTTTGTCACAGCGAAGGGAGTTTTCTACAATTACAATTTTTCACAAGTTTAGAAAAACATTTCTTCTGCATTATAAATGTAGGAACGTTAATTACCAAATCTACCATAATAAAATCGTCGTTGGCACTGGTCATTGAGCAACTACTTCTCCTTGATCCATTCTGAGAGTTGCACTTCGACGTCGTATTATCGTTTGTAAGTCTTTCATTATTTCCGTTACTGCTATCTGTTAGAGTAGCGGTTACTACAGTCTTTGTAGCTGTAATCTCAGCTACTGATACTGGAGGAGGTGATGTTTGTCTAGGAGTTAGCAACGAACTAAAAGGTACATCTGGTATAACAAAGTCCTCTTCGTTAACAGTAACAGGCTTATTTACAACAAAGGCTCCAACTTTAATAGTATCGCTGAGCGATTTTGATGTTTCTTCACTGAAATACAGAGAAAAAATTATACACGTATTTCGAATTTCAAGTAGTGAAGATTATTTTTTATGTAAAATTACCTTTGTTGATATCTCGCGTGACGAGGACTTAAGTCAGAATGAAAATGATCACTCTTCAACATTATTGAATCACGGCCAGTATGAGTAGGAGATATAGTCATTTTTGTTCTATATGATACTGATAAATGAATTGTACCCACAGGTGTACACAACTGACCTACTCTCACATGTTTATAATTATCACCTATAGGAAAAAGTACTTGTTATAATTACACTTAGTGTTAGAAGCAGAATTATAATATTATCAAATTTATATCTGCAATTAAACATCTTAAATACCTAATGTATGTAACTGAGGTTCTCCCATATAAATTCTATAACAAATAACATAGGAATCTGGACCTTGTCTCCTACTCAATTTATAAGCTGGAGTAATTCTTGACACAGACAACAATGATTTCAATAAAATACCCATCCTGTTGTATATTGTATATGTTACTCTTACAGTAGGATCGCTATGTTCTGGTAGAACACCAAGACTCCATGTTTCTAAAACCATTGTGTCACCTTCAACGGTTCTTAGAGAAATTTCAATGCATAGAGGTATGGTTGAATTTACTATTTCTCCACAGAGTGCCCTTTTTGCTTCTGCCAAAACTTCTGGTACATCATGAATAGCTAAGTTGAACTATACAATGAAAGGATACATATGTAGAAAACTGTAAACATGTTGATTAAACAATCATAATTAATATAATTTTAAATTATTTAATTCATTGCTAAATTTATTTTATATATAACTTTACAGACATGTTAAATCAGCAACGAAGAAGTACAGTATTAAAGAAAATAATGACAAATTTATCAGTTGTCAATGATATATTATTTCAATGCAATTAGAAAAGAGGAGCTTACCCAATCAGTTCCAGATGAATTTGGCTTACACTTTGTGCTGACCTTTTCACCTGACCTCGATTGCACTATAATTTGAGCAGCTTTCAATGCCAAAAATTTGGTGAACTTATCCAAGTCCTTTTTATCTTGCATACTCAGTTTTAATGTAGACATTTTGGTGCTCTTTGTTTCATGCAATACTTTTTTAAAAAACCACAGATGTCCAATCAAAAACATCGAATTCCACTAAACTGAATAGAATTTTGAATGTACCAAACATTTCCTCCAGCTATCTAGAAAACTAGACGATGAGATCGTTTTCGACATTCGCACATGTAAATCATCGCACTCGTATCGGCAAGCGATTCCTTTTCTTTCTATAATGTATTAACGAAGTTATTCCAGTCGAAAAACAGTAATTTAACAATGGCATAGACATCATATCGATGCATTATGTTGTATACAGCTGCGTGGCAGGTGATACGTATTAAAATGATTTGATTTTGTTAAATTGAATTCAGTCTATCATTGATCAACCGCAGAGTTATATTCGAAAGTACTATTCGAATCGACTGATCAACGTGAATATTGTTTTTCTCGAATAATACGTATAAACATCGAGTATAGTTCTTATTTCACTATTTTTATGCCACGCTGTGGATCGATCGTGTTTCGTACAGCAATTACCTTAAGAAAGGAAGTGTTCACATGAGTAACATATCATCTTCGATCCGCTGAGTCAAGGGTACATTAAATTTTTATACGTAATTTACATCTATTACCAAGTAAGACAGGGCAAAGAACAAGCACTTCCTTGTTAAAAAGTTCAAAGTTTGCAAATTTTGAATCATAGAATCAGGCTGTGTTCGAAAAGCATCTGCCACTATCCCCAGTCTACCGCGAACAAACGTAATGGCGTTACTCAAATATATGTTCAAAATCTTGATGAAATATACAACAAACAGTATTTGTTGTTACATTTGATCACGAATTACTTTCTTACAGTAATCTTTTAATAGAACATGTACTTCATCAGAGAGCATACTTCCTAGATGACGAGTTTTTACTCGTTTTGTGCATGCTAACTTTGGGATCTACACGTTTCGTTATCTATGGTAACGCGCAAGCGCTCTTGTGACAATCGGGACGCCGAGAGCGTGCATCCAGTGAATACTGTTTCATGATTTCTAATTTTTGTTAATTATAGTTATTTCGTCCTTTAGATGAAATAATCTTTTCATATTATCAATGTACTATTACTTTTTGTGAATATATTAAAAGAAATAGGTAAAGGGTTTCTCCTATCTTGTATATTTCATTTCATTTCAGGTTTCCCCATTTAGGGGTGGCGTACTCTAAGGACTTTACATCGGTCCCTTTTTGCCCACCGAAAATTATCAGCCACGCGCGTATATGCGTCATTTTTCAAATCTCTTGTCATTCGTACCGTACGTTACTTCACACATTCGCCGTACTTTTTCTTCTGTTTCTTATCCTTACTTTTACATCATTACAACCCCCTTTTAGTCGCCTCTTACGACAGGCAGGGGATACCGTGGCCGTATTCTGATTCCCCCGAGCCACAGGGGGCCTATCTTGTACTTTTACATTATTATTTTTCTGTTTGCAGGACTTATTTGTATACGTATAATTACCTCCAATTCTTCATTTCATTAGTTTTATCGCTTACCGCCAGATGGTACGAATGGTACTGCTTTCATAGCGCGCGTTGAAATAAAAAATAAATAGAAATTGTTTGCGCAATATTTTCAATCTGTGAAATTAATTGCTCTGCGACAACAAAATCTATTGCTCGTGTACAAATTAAATGGTTATACTATTTTGATTAAGAATATTTAAGAATACGAACTTTAAAATGAATGGTGGGCGTAATCGATGGATTTTGTTTGATTTCAATTTTTGATTGAAAGTTTAATGTGATTTTTATTTTTTTCGTAAATAATGTTTAATAGTAAATATATAAAAAATGTTATCAATTACTGTTTGACAAAAAAATTGTACAATTAAGCGTGAGTTTTACGTTATTAACGTAAAGTTGCACTTTTAAATTTTTTATTCCCAGTTATTTATTGGAGGTCAGTGATAAAACAGAACCCCAGCGGATCATTCTCAATCACCAGCGAGGGTCGGGGAATTTCGTAATGCCGTGCTTATTATATTTATCTTCTGTGCGATTAGGGCAATAATACATAAACCGTACAATCGGGAGTCAACTTCGCAACTGATGATCATTAATCGCCAGAAGAAATGAAAATATTTGTCAACGTTGTGGAAGGAATATTCGTTTGATCGTTTTATCGATTATGAAATGCAATGTGACAACAAGTTTGTTTCATTGCAAGTTGTCACAATCGTACACTAACATTTGTTATGTCGAACAAAACAATTTATTCAAACACATATTATCGCTATACGTGGAAAAAAAATTCTTATGTTCATAACGCCATGAACAGTGATGGGTTTAAAGTACTTCGCAAGTATATTTGAACATTGAAGAAGTAAATACGAACTCTCCAGAAGTGTATCGAAAAAAAGGATTAATACTTTCAAGTATTGCTTTAAACAGATGATTAGATATTAAAAAACTGGATAAACATTTCTCTTTTATTTCACTACCAAGTGACACTTGGGCGATACACTCGATTCTATTGCTAGTAACGATTGTGTATACTTACACAATAAATTATATGATTTTCCTATGTAAAGACTATTCGCGTGAGCGTACTTGTTTGTAATGAAGTTTCGTCAGACGTAAAATGTGATAACAAACATTTGCGTTCTTACTCGTGAATAATTTCTCGAATGTTCTTTCGGCAACTTCTATTTTGTTTTCTTTAAATCAATTACATTTAGAAAATAAAACTTAGAAGTTGTACTACAACAAACGGAGCAGTCGGTGAAAGTGGAAAATTTCTCTCGCGGATATTTCCATTGACACGTTAAGAACCAGTTATCGCTTAAAGTGAATTTTAACGTAAATATCGATCACGGTAATCGATAACAAGGGAAAAGAGAAAAGAGTACGATTCACCGTTTGATTGTTCTTCGTGACCCGAATAGCAATTGCCTAGCGCCGGTTTTTATTGATGCCCGGTTAAAGTTGGCTGACGGTCGTCGAAGAGGGAATTCCCTAGACTGGGGAAGAATTACGAAATGTTCGAGAATAATCGTACAACTATTCCCCTGTGTATGTATGTATGTATGTATGTATGTATGTACACAGGGTTGATTCGCTGACTGTTGCAGACGGGGCGGTTTTCGAAAGCAAACAATATATGTTTCTACAGCGAATTCATCAATTACATGATTCGTGTTTAGCTTATACAACAACGATCTGAATCCATTATAATATTGCGTGTAAACAAATTAAGATGCAACACATTACGTTCTAGAGTATGTTTTGTATTATTCTGCAATCTATCTATTGATTCCCTGTCGATAGATGATAAAGCGTTTTTATCAAATATTTCCGTTCTCCAACTCCATCGAAGTCTCGCATCCTCGATTTGTTTAAAAATTTGTAAGAGGGAGATTCGAATACCTTTCCTCGTCTCTCGTATAAAGTTTCAATTAGGAAAGTTCGTTGCCGCTGAAAATCTGGTGTTTCGGGTCGAAATTTGTTTACGAGCAAAGGGTCGGGTGTTCTTTGTGGACGATCAGCGAAATTATGCATTACTCGTTGCTTCGCAAAGTAGCTTCCGGTTCCAGCAGGGACGACCGGTGAAAACTGAATTCAGAGTCCATTCGAGCTTTCGTTGGTCTTTTCTACGAGTTTCGACCATCGCGTTGAAGCATAATTTGCAAGCTCCAGCTTGATTTAACCTTTTCAATTCGCCTAGAACTTGGCTTTCGCCCATTCTTTTTTCTTACAATCACGGGACACCTCGTTACAATCCCGAATGCAACGACGAAGATAATTATTGTTTGGTTACTTAATGCAAAAGAACAGCTTTTGTATTTTTGAATTAAAACTGCAAACATCGAAATAATCTGAAAGGAAACGAACAGCTTGCATCATCGTTATTTACGTCAGAGTCGGTTTCAAGATAAGCTTATTCCATAAACTAACAAAATCTTAGGCTTATGGTAAATCATCGAAAACAAATCGAAAAATGAAATTATAAAATTATTATTTCCCTTCTCCCTCTTTTATTCAAAGTTGAATAATTTCTTCTCATTCAATTGAAGATGATACCTTTGATAGGCTGCATGTTTCATCGGTAACCAGAAATAGATTCCAGTTTAAAATTAGCTCGATGATAAAAAAGTTTATTAGGTCCTTGACTTCTCTGATTACCTATAAAACTCCATTCTCCTACCTATTATTTAAAATCGAAACAAAACATCTAGTGTAACAAAAGAAACCTCAATCCATTCATTGACTACTTTTTCTCATAATTCATTGTCGCGCGTGTGGCTGCGTAATGCTTAATGTTATGCAAGAAAAACGTTGTTTTGCTGATTAATCACCGTTATGTATTAGACGGTTTACAAATAAAAAAGTGGTAGCGGAACAGTAAATAGTTTACCGATTAGACACGAATGACCAAGATTCCTCGCCAATACAAGATACTGTATTTAAGAAAACGTTGCCTTTTTTTACACCGGAAGTTTCAGATAACTAAGGACGATAACCGTGAAAACGAAAGGTTTCGGACAATCTACCCCTGGTTGAGAGGGCTCGTTTTTCTCCACCCGATATCTGAAATGGAATAGTTTTCATTTCTTCAAGATGTATATCCATCGAAGTCCACCCGTTATGTGATAACCGATATAAACGAGTGTAAATATCCTTTCTGAAGAAATCGAAGTTCACGGAGATACTCGACTGTACCTTGATTACTTAATTCGCAATTATTGATAACCGAACATGTCGTGTCAAAACGACTGAGCCTTACTGTGTTCATTCGTTCGTGCCCCGAGCTAGGGAGAACGTCGACCACGAAGCTGATCGACTTCGACGTTCTTCGTGAACTGTGAATGATTAAATAAAACGTTTCGAATCGAAGTGGCACGACTGTGATGTAAATTGCAGAATCTCTGCGCGTGAATTTTATAATGTTTAGGATGACTTAGTAAAAGTGAAAATTAGAACCCAGTTAAAATTCTGCGAGGAGTTCCAGTGGAAAATACGATTGAATCGTAATTAATATTCGGAGCCAGCATCACTGAAGTACCATTGCTTTTAGCGAGGAAAGAACTTTGAATTATCTCGAACGAGAGAGCAACAGGTTCGAACTGTAATAAATGAAAAGAGAACAACTATACCAGCATCGTCTAATAACAACCTTCATCCTCGAAGAGTACTGTTTATCGAAGAAAATCAACAGGAAGTTCTCGCTTATTAACCGAGCAAGGTGTACGAGTCTCGCGAGGACATCACGAGCGAGTGTTGCAATTGCAGAAATAGATGTGTACGTGGAAAATTAATCATTCGTACATCGATTGTCATCGTAATCATCGATGATCAATATCGTAGATTTTATATAATCGAATAATGAATAATCGAAAGGAAAGAACGAATGATTACGATTGTAACGTGTCTTTTCCATCTTCAGCGCGACAATCAACGTGTGAAATTCATCGATGAAAAGTTTGTTGACTTTCTTCGCGATTAGATAAGCTGGATCCTGCTAGAAGAAAGCCGAACAACATTAGCAATGTTATTCGCGGTACGACGAGCAAAGTCGGCTCTTTATTGTCATATGAAACAAATAACACCGAAGCGACGCGACGGTGGCAATTGGAGCATTTAACTTCTAATGGGTTATCATCTCGTGCCCCTACCTCCCAGTGACTTTCTGACTGTCTCAATCAACACGAGGATTGGAGGGAGAGCGAGTAAACGTCCAAAACGATTGGACGGTTCGTTAGTGGTCGGATTTTTTTCAACGAGGCCGAGTTTCCGTATAAAACAGCAGCAACTCGACTCACAGCAACCACTAGTTTCTTTATACGAGCGATACACGGAACCTTGTACGAGTTCATTCATCGATTTCATATTTTTTCTTTTTCTTCTAATTTGTCTTTTCGAAAGTGTTAATTGAAACCTGACGATTTTGTTGGTACACAGAGAAAAGAATGCCTTTCGCGGATTACGACGGTGTCAATGGACACAATCATTACCAACCAGTGAAACGGCCCGCGGATAACGAGTTCTATCACACCACCGTCAGGCATGTGCAGCAAAGCTCGTAAGTTGTTTCTTTTGAAGACTAAAGAGACGTTCACATTAGGCAACTTCTAATTAGTCGAACGAATCAACAAAATTTCAATCAAGAATGAACGACTTGAATATATTTTATGATGATTTTTATCAAAAGCTGGAGACGCGCGAATTTATCGCTGCGAACGAAAAATAATGATAAAACAGTCAGACAGCGGGATCGTAATGTAAACTTCATAATTAAACAATCTGAGGCTGATCAACTCCATCGAACAAATAAAAATTGCCTAATGTAAACGTCGTTTAACACTTCGAATGTCTCAGTGATAATACTATTCAGAAGGTTCTTTTCACTTTTTTTTTTATTAATTAGGTACTTGAATCCATTGCACTGTGACCCTTTCGAGCAATCATTTGTATTCGGTCGATGACACGATCATTTATCTGGAAGAATAGAGTTCTGAAATTTGGATTAGGATTTGGGTTCTTCTAGGGTTCTTCTAAGACTAAGTGTCTCCTTTCTTTGTACACTCATTTTTAACAAAGAGGAGTTGTTGAGACTCAGAATAACATAACTTTTAATAAACAATCAGAAAATGCAAGCCAGATACATATTGTTCTTTGCACGACTAATTTTTGCTGGCGTTGCTCATTAGGTCGAAGTCCTCCTGAATCTTAACGTGGTATTAAAGATTGTCTTATCTTTATATCGATTTCCTGTCAGATAATTTCGAGAGATCAATGATTCATAAAAAATGATTGATTTACTCGATCGTTTAACTGGAACGATTTCTCAACAAAGGCGATAGAACGCGATTTCTTTGTACTCTGAACATCCGATCTACGATCGTGGTGGTTGGGTATCGTTAAGGAAAGCGAGGAAAGTTATGGAAGCACGAAGAAAGCGAAGAGCATGGAAAATTCGTGGCAAAGTTGCGAGTGTTTGCATCGCTAATGGCTCGTTCTAAGTGGTAGCCCGTTCAAACAGAAAGCGCTTTATTGTTTAATACTTGCCGTAGCGTGGTTAATTGTTCATGAGAAACAGGACGAAAACGCGGTAGCAATTTACCATCGAGTTTACTGCCCGCTACTTTGTAACGTTCGTCTAACTTGGACGATTTATATTATCCGTACGGAATTGATTAGGGAAATATTTGGAAACGCGTTCGATTATAAGCGTGCCCGTGTGTTTCCTTTCATGTTTCCCTCGTGTTTCCGGTCGTGTAATACCACGGAAACATATCAGGGATATTACAAGGGAACTTACTAGTTTCGTAGCGTCCAATTAGAAGTTGCCGGTGTTCATACTTTGATTTTGTTGATTTAATCAAGTAAACAGGGCGTGCGAAACTCACGGTGCCGTGGTTCAAATGCAAACATGAACTTAACGTAATGGCGCGATGTGACGCGTTGACGTTCCAGCAAACATCGACTTAGAAACGGTGGAGAAAGGGACGATCGGTGGCTGCTGCTTAATCGACGCTTCTTTATCTCCGCCGATGAGCAATTTCTCGATCGTTTCGTAATTCGTTACATCGTAATCGACGCGACGGTAATGTTCCGTTCGCTATTCAATTAGAATTCGTTTAGAATCGTTCGGTGTCTGAATATGTTTTATCGAGTTCCAATTTGTTCGTCGATTGAATTGGAAGGTCATTTCAATTTTCCGGGGATCGTCGAGGCCAGTGTCGTGCGCGACAGTTACAAAAGATTAAAAAACAGAAAAAAGCAAAGGTTAATTGACACGCGTTTGACGATGATCAAAGCCACGAAAGGTCTGAATGAAAAAGTGAAATTAAATATGAAAAAGGAATGTGTAATTTAGTTCTTCCTATTTTCCATTTGTTCGTATTTTTTTCTTTTTTTCAGGAAGTTGCGTCTCCCGTTCCATTCCGACTCGTATGAATTTTTATTCCTTTCATTTAATATTTCATCGCGTGTTCCGTGTTCGCTTTTGCCTCGATTCTTCCATCTTCCCTTGTTTCCTCTCTCCTCGCCGAACTCGAATCAGAAGAGATCCCGCTGACATTAAGCTTCTCGCGAAAAACCGACATAGTTTCGCTTCAAACGGCCGCTCGATCTTCCCGGATCTCTTCAGACTTTCCGTCGTGCTCTTATCCGCTTCGCGAGCTGCGCGACGAGAAAATGGGACGCGTTTCCGCGAGCAACGTTCGCGGGAAACGCGGCTTCGCGATCATTTTTGGTAACTGAAACGTTAGAAAATGCAACATCCGTCAGATTCAGGAAGTAAACCTGCAATATTTACAAAATGTCGATAAGATAATCAATAAGTCAACACGATGGATTTCTTTCACATTACTCTTCGTGACAGTCACGAGTTAATTGTTAATTTTGAATGAAAATTACAAGGACACGATTGAAAGACAAGAAAGAGGACTGTCGAGTGACTTCTGACTGCGATGGGGATCGACAATAAAGATTAGATGGGGCGATATTGTAGCCAGAATCGAGGAGGCGTCATTGAATCCTCGCGATGCGATGGCCCGAAGCGATGCGCATTCACGTCGTTATAATAATCGTCGACCTCACATTTGCCATTCATAACGGGCCGCTGTACAATCCCGTTTTACGACGTAGCATCCGCGAATGCGGTTGGTCTAATGACGTTTGCCATACCCGCGGCTATACCGAAGCTTTTCCACGCGATGCCAGCTAGACTGCGAAGCAATTCTCAGATTCGCGCTTCAATACCACTGTTCGTTCGACCCTGTCTGTATTGACGACGGGGATGCATATTCAGTCGCATTCAACGCGTTATAATTCGATGTCCCTTATGCAGACTCGTACGAGCGTCCATATCGTAACCGTTTTACTCTCGCCACGGTGTCTGCTTCCGTTTCGAAATGGAGCTTCGAAATATTCAATCAGAATCAAGTGTACTCGATAGCCAAGGATTTTTCATTTTTCAAAAATAAAATAATATCGCAGGATGTTTGAAAAAATAAGATCCTCCGCATGGTTAATTATTTTGGTTACCTACCTGCCTAATTAGCAGGACCTTCGTCGTTGCAATTGGCTACTTGTTAATTAAAAATTTTCATAAATTGCTTCTGTCATTTATATCTGTAAATGGTGTCCTATTTTCTAAATTTTCTCGCTCCAGTCGGATTCTCAATTATCCGGAAGCGACGAGACGCGAAGATTCGCGACAATCTGTTAAATAGAAAAACGTACAAGTACCGAGTCTATTAAAATTCACCGCGGAATCGTAAGTAATTTTCAATTGCATCTCCCGCGGTATTATGCTAGACCCGTGTTTACTCGGTCGGGTGCGTGGAAATTCTGCTTGTGCATCTGTGCGTGTTGCCGTTTCACGAGCGCGTTCCGAGCCCATGTACGCGTGAATGGGGTACACGGTATATGAGATTGTGCATGGTGCACGTACACACTCGTAAACACGTATTTCGATGCATGATTTGTAATACCCTTGAAGCCTACGTTCAGCTTAAATCCGCCACTATTCGAGCCTGTTAGCAGTTTAACAGCTAACTGCATCGTTTCGCGATAGTTTTCCAGTGAAATTGCGCTGGTCATGCTACACGTTCGCACGTGCGATTCTTCTTCCTATCTCATTAACGTAACTCATCTCGGTTATCGCGACTTGCCGATATTATTTCGACAGATTTATCGAAACGTTCGATTCGTTCGTGGTATCGAATCGGTAAAAATAACTTTCTTGCGCGAGCAAATTTAATGTCATCAATCAAAATCGATAAGATCGAACCCGTAAAATGATTGTTAAAGTTATCTCGAAATTCTGCTAACTTTTTAACGATTAGATTAACGTTAATACCTTTGTTCCAGATACTCCTTCGAGGCTTTGCAAGAATCTGCAAAATACCTTCTGGATCGTATCAAGATAAGGCCAAAGATTGGAATAATATGCGGTTCCGGGATGGGTAAGTAACCTCCGAACACCGAACGCCTTCGTAGAATTTGTTGAAGCTAAGAAGCATATTTTCCCAGTCATTGTTTTGTCTATTCCCAAACAGGATCAAATGAGCAAAACGAGTTGTGTCCAGGTTCACTGGCGGAATCCCTCGAGGACCAGCTGTGCTTTCCTTACGCCGAAATCCCACATTTTCCTGTCTCCACCGTCAAGGGTCACACGGGTCAGATGGTGTTCGGTTATCTAAAAGGTGTGCCAGTCATGTGTATGCAGGGCAGGTTTCATTATTACGAGGGTTATCCACTGTGGAAGGTACGTAAACGTATCGTTATCGTTGCTTCGGGAATATTCTGTATAGAAATATTACTATGGTACAGTGTTAAATAACTCAACAGTTGAGGAGATATTTTAATTTTAAAAACGACATTCATTCAGTTAATTTGGTTGGTAATCAATTTTTGGTAATCGTAATTAAGCATGAACTTAGATACCACGATTGAACGAAATTTCGGTGAACCGTGATCAACGTCGTTTAATGAGATTTGCATAATTTTTGTGACCGCTTATCGAACTATTTAACGATTATTGTTATCGTTGTTGTTTTCTGTTTCAGTGCTCAATGCCGGTCAGAGTTATGAAGCTGGTTGGAGTGACACATCTGATTGCGACAAATGCAGCCGGCGGACTAAATCCCAGGTACAAAGTTGGCGACATCATGATGGTGAAGGATCACGTGAACATGATGGGTTTTGCGGGGAATAACCCTCTTCAAGGACCGAACGACGACAGGTATATTTTTCCTGCTCCTCCCGTAGCTTAGCTTTATGTAACGTCTTACGTTACTTCGTTCAATGTCACCACATGCATGTATCCTTCTTTATTAACTTTAGAAGAGCCGAGTCATTTTTAAGCCGACAGCAAAATTTTCATGGTATCTTATTTGATTTTAAAATTAGAAAGAGCAGGTTCGTTTCTGCTTTACTGGAAGAATAAAAAGAACCCCTATGCTTTTTCCCAACATGTAATTTCTATGTTTACAAAGAGCAAACACGGTATCTTTGACGATCTAAAAATTAGGAATAGAAGCGTCGACTTTATTGGAAGAGAGAAAATAAAGAGGATCGAAAGGGGCGAGGCAGGGTGAAAATAAGGGGAAAAAAATGATGACCGAGAAGAAGAGGGTTGGCGGGATTCACGGCGTGAACGGCAATGAATTCGAATCCGCTTCCAGTCGACAAACGCTTTCGGGCTCGTTTCCGGAAGGAAAGTCGTCGACGACGTTCGCGGATTGCACACCTCGACGACGCTCCAAGGACTCAGCCTAAGGGCAAAGGGAGGCGAAGGGTGGCCGTGAGAGATCGCTGAGGTCGTTCCAAGGAATAAAATTAATCTGTTTCATCGGAACAACCCGTTGAATCGGATTGATGAACTATTTACTCGACGACACAAAGAGTCTGATTGACGTATTTACCTAAGGATCTCTCTCTATTTTCTGCTTAGTTCGTCTTCTTTTCTTTCCGTTCATCCTTCTCCTTATTCCGCTCTGGTTCGTTTTCGCTCGAGCTTAAACTTTTATCGTGGCAGCTTCTTTTTCGCTCCAAGTCATCTATGATTGATCGAATTCATCAAACGTATTTACCATCGGAAATAGAAAGATCTTTCGCTTATTCTTGTTTCAGATTTGGACCGAGGTTTCCGCCAATGAACAAAGCTTATAGTATCAGACTGTTAGAAATAGGTCAAGAAGTGGCCGATGAGATGGGAATCAGCGACATCGTGCACAAAGGGGTGTACACGTGCCTTGGGGGGCCGAATTTCGAGACAGTGGCGGAATTAAAAATGTTGAGGATGGTCGGGGTCGATGCAGTAGGTTAGTTATTTTTTTCAATTCAATTTAACGCTTCGAGTATGAAAGGGTGTGAAAGACATGAAGAGTAATTCCTTGTTTCCAGGGATGTCTACTGTTCACGAGGTAATCACTGCCAGACATTGCGATCTAACTGTTTTCGCGTTTAGTTTAATCACGAATCAGTGTGTTACGGATTACGATAACCACGATGAAGCGAATCACGAGGAAGTGATGGACGTGGGGAAAGCGAGGCAACCGATGCTACAGGAATACGTGTCGCGTATGGTGCTACGCCTGCATGGAGGGTATGCTACAATTAAAGACGAAACGATTCCAGTAAATTGTACCTCTACCGAGCGTTCCTGAAATTATTCGTATCGCGCTTGTCTCTTGCGACCAATGGAACAACGTTGAAGGACAATGACAAGACGATTCGTATATTCACGAACAACGACACCTGCAATGTACGTTGTATCAAAACCTAAACGCTTCAGCCGAACACCGATGCATTAATAATTGATTCAATTTAGTCGTAGATTGACACTCTACGAAGATTGTGTTTAATATTATGCAAAAACGTGGATGGATTTCCTTTGGAAAATTGTCACTTGCATTCTCTCTAATTGCCTCGGGAAAATTTTTCCAAGCGAAGATTAATTTAGGGCTGTTTACGAGATCAAATAAAATCAGTATTTATCAGTATTTCTCACAGGGGTTGATGGGCTTTTTCTTAATTACACGATCATGAGTGGACGCGTTCAGATTCGAAGATGGAAAATCGCGAACGCGTTGGAGGGCGAGTCTTTCGTTCTCGATTGATTCGTTACACGTCTTGAGGGACCTCGTTGGCTTTAAGAAGAGGAACGGTTTAAGGGTGGAGACGTTGGTCGATGCCTCCCCTCTTCAACACCCTCGTCGATTTTCCTCCCTCGCTTCGTTACCTTCATCTCGTTTCCGTGCTCTTCCGTCGCTAATGCATCGGTGTTCGGCTTCGATAAATCTCCAACGACGAACACCATACTGCAGCCGGAGCTTCGTCCCTCTTTTCGTTATCCGCCGCGGTTGCTTCCTTCGTATTATCATTCACGATAAAATTACGATGTGACATCGAGGAAAAAACTTTTACTCCAAAAGAGATCCGTCTACGATCATCTCGAGGATTGGAACGTGTTTCACGTTCGAGGATGAACGAGAAAAACGCAGGACAGACTGTAGGACGACGTCGTTAGGATAAAGGTACTTTTCACTTGACGTTCTTGGTCCTTTCGCAAACACTCGTCGCCATGGTACTTTCGCGAAACGTCACGAAATCACGCCGCTACCGTGATTTAATAAAATGGCACACGACTATTGTTTAAGCGGTTATTTTGTAATTTCGTTGAAAGCTTGTTTAATTATGGTACGTCGAAATACGCGCACCGTTCAATGTATAGCAAGGAATAAAACTGAATATACACCTGGGATTTTAACGTAAATAATATTTCATAATGTACGTAGCAAAACAGTTAATAATGTTATCAACAGTATCCGTGTACAAAATTTCTATCAAACGAGACAATAATGGTAATGATAAAGCATTGTACACATTGTTACGTATTTTGTTATATTCAATACTCGAACAAAGAATAAAATGTTTATGTTAAAATTCCATATGTTCGTTCAGTTTTGAATAACTTTGCAAACTGTTCTCGTTCAATTTCGATCATCGATTCGCGTGAAATATTCAACGAGAACATTGTCACGACATTTCATGGCGGGTGGTAATTGTATGCTTCGAAGCAAAACGAGAAAATCGATCGAAGGTACTCAGCGAGATCACTTCTTTGTTATCTGTTCGCCTTTGTACCAGTTTCTTTGACAAATATATCGAGTACACGAAACATACGCGCAACCTAATTAAATTCTCCTTTTATATTGACAAACGATCGACGGGTTCACGGTTAGGAACGTTTCAATCGGCCGACTACGATACTCGTCGGTTCGGCTGGTTTGTTTTCGAGCAACGAACGATGGATAAAAATATTCGTCGACGTGCTCGAACGTTCACGCTCTGGTTCCTGGATTCATAATTCAACGGGTCGACCTCGATTTTCTCTGACACCGGTGACTCGGATTCACCTGTAACGACGATCTCTGATCGCGTTAGATTAGTCGTGCAACCCCTATCGCTACAACGATGCGTCTCTGATAAAAACACGGCGGATAAGAACCGGGCTTATTATTCCAAGGTTAAAGATCGAAGTTTGATGTCGAATAAACACCTTCAATCTGTTAAATTATTTTAGTATAATATACTCAACCACGGCGAAGCAAATGTGCCGAAATCCGCTTGGTATCTGCTCCTCGTCCGCTTTCGTCACGTTTACGCGTCCTCTTCATTATCACCACGACTGGCACGTCTGCGAGCATTTCGTTGAATTGGATTTTAAACGGTAAATCCGTGCTCCCAACGACACGTGCCATCTTCCGGAACAGGGTACTTGGTGAACGTCTGTACGAGATCGTTGCATCGTTCAATTTGAAAGGGATACATCCAGGCACGTATCGTATGGCATTCAAGAGAGGAAGGAGAGCTGCAGTATATATTTCCATCGTTGGAATAGAAAATGTTCGAGGGATCAGTTATTGATATTTCAGTAACGGCGGATAAAACTTTTTCCCCGTTGTCTGGCGGGTCTGTCGTATATCTTTTCGTTTACCGATTCGTAGGACCGCAATATCGTAATCGCGATATGGTATAATGTATTTAGGTCTTAACTTTCGCGCGATAATGTTGGAAAAGAAGTTAGCGAAGGGAAAACGGTGTTTGCTGGGCGCGGTAAAAGAGGGATGGCACGGAATGAAATTCAGAGCAGACGTCTTGATTATTTCAGAGAATAAGACTGATAAGGTAATCCGGTTTTGTATCTTTATAAGTTCCCTCCCTTTTCACGGTCTCTGCTTTTCCATCGTTTCACCGTAAAACGAGACGCATAATGTGATTGCGCTGCAATATCAGCAACGAACAAAAACCCGTAGGTACTTTCTATGAATTAAAATGTACAAGGGAAGAGAGAATAAACGACACACTGTTAACGGACGTGTCCGTGTGTCCTCTTTCCCTGTTCGTTTCATTAGAACACAAAGAAAGCTCGGATGCAATAAAGTGCTCGATTCTCTTTTTTCATCGCGCGATATTAATTTATCTTCGAGGAAATCGATGAGAATAATAGAGAGGGTGGGACACTATAAAAGTTCTGTTTGTCTAAAATGGTTTATGAATTCGTGTCAGAAAATCGATATCGTTTCCAATCAATTAAAATAAGTTGAACAATTTTAATTCATTTTTAGTTTGTTTCTGTGTTATAAAAATATATCTGTTATAATTATTTGTCTAATTATTGTTCTAAATCTTGTATACCATACAATTTATTTATTTTAAGTATGTTAATATAACATACAATAAAAAGTATTTTATACCCAGTATTCATTAAAAACACGATGGCGAATGGAACAATAATAAATTTTAAAAATTTGATTTGATCGCGGGGAGATTAATCGAATCGCGCGTCGATAAAGAAGATTCCTTCAACGGAGTATGTTTAAATTTTCCCGCGGATGGCGGTAACGTCGCTTTCATCAACGTCCGCCCCTTGCGTCTTGCGTCCTGCGCAGCTACGCCACCAATAGGTCCACCGGGCCGAACGAGTGCTAGTCAAGTTAGTATAACTCGTGACGTCGCGGTTGTAGGTTGTTCGTTCTTCTTGTGATCGTGGTATGCCGTCTCTTCGGCGATGTGACCGGTTTTCAAAGTGACGTGCGTTTTTTCGTACATCTTATCGCGACTGAAACCGTTCGCCGGATCAACGGAGCGTCGGTAAACATAACACGTAGAAAGTCGTCAGTTTTTAATTTTGACTTGCGTCGCGTCTGTCACGTTCATCTCGTATCAAAGTTCGCTTACACGTTTCAAAAGAACCATACATTGTTCCTTACCTCGTGTAACGTTGAATCGGTGCTCGATATCCGTAAATGTCGCTGCTAGATCAGATCGGCAATGATGCTTGGCTTCCGGATCCGGAGTGCGGGAAGCGTACTGTGAAGCGCCATTCGAACTACTTCGATCGTGATCGTTTCAATTGTTCGTGCTTCTAGTCGGACGCTCAGTGTCAACGACAGTGTCAGTCTGGTTAATCGGTCCAGTGTCTCGAAGGAAATACGGAACAACTGACATTTGTGTCTGGAACGTTGAACGGAGTGGCGTCGTTCTTTTTCTCTACAAGCCTTCGAAAGGCGTTACGGTCGGAAGTTGGCCGCGGTCGCGGTGTGGCGCGCGCGTCCAAACGATAATTCGAGTGTGAAAGCATTGCGAGTCGAAAGTGAACGTCGCGTCGGATGGTAGTAAGTAGGTGGAAAGGAAGGAGCGGAACGAAATAATAAACGCGTACGAACGGAAATAAATTTTCTGGCGAATAAGACGGGAATCGAAGTGTTTCCGATTCGAGGACGAAGAGGAAGGCCGGTGAAACATGTCGAGGCTGTTGAAAGGCGAACCGACGGGCGGTTATGTCATTGACTCGAATGCGGCTCGTCGAATGTATTAACCCGTACGTCGATGACGCGTATCGTGTCGTAAGAGAAGAAAGAAACGGTGGCGGAGGACGAGCACCGGACACGCACGGCATCCGTCGGGGGAACAGCAGTCTTCTGATCTAGCCAAAGAAAGAAAAGCAGGCCAGGCGTCGTGCCTCCCACTGCCTACCGGAAGTCATATGCCCATACACGCGCGGAAAACGGTAAATCAACGTAGAAGCCATCAGCTCTAACGAGCGTACACGTTTAGTTTGCATTGGACCGAAGCACGCACGCCTGACCTTCCACTTCTGTTCGTTTTCTTTTCTTTGGTTCGCCTTCATTGTTTCGTCCTTTTCCCATCAGGTATGTTCTTAAATCAAAACAATTTTTTATTTTACATTAACCGCGTGAAGTATACGTCGAGTGCGTCAAGATGTCACTACTAGCGATATTTTGAATGACGTGCTATAAAGTCGTACGAAATTACTTGCTTAAATATTAGTACATAAGTCAATGTAATTAAGAAATTTAAGAAATTTATTTATAGTTCATTCAAATCCTTATGACAATTAAAATTCACACACAGCTTACATCGAGCTTGACATTGCGCGAGGTTTATGAGACTTAATACATGTTAATTACCATTTAGCACCAACGTGAGACTCGCTAATGATTCGCGCCTACGATTGTACGCGTATTTTTAACGATGACACATCGCTATCACGCGAGATTTTTTTCAACATAGTCTATCGAAATATAAACAGGATTATTCCGATTAAACGTTTACGCAAGTTCGACGTATACTTCACCCGGATAATTTTTCATGGAGCGTAAAGTAAGCTTGAAATCGAACAATAGTCAAAGAGGAGGATCAAAGCGAGGAAATAATGTGGGCGGTTCGTTGGTCCCCGCATTCTTTTCGAATTTAAGCGGAGGACCAAGTTTCGAGTTCGAAACTCGAGGAGGGGGGGGGAAAAAAAGAGAAGGAGTCCAGTTTAAAAGCGCGCGCAAAGTGTAAAAGCGGCAAGCTTCAACGTGCCGATTTTCAATTTCTCCTGGTTTCCAACTTGCTCCTTGAGATTCACCGTTCCGTGTCGCATTCCCCGGATTCTTGCAACTCCAATTTCAACCATGGAGCCCCGCGGTGGTTTCCCGAACGAGTGATCCGACAGAAACACACTCGAACATCGCGCCCGGTGTCCTAACTTTCGTCCTCTTGTTTCCTTCTTTACTCGCCGATTGTATTTTAAAGCGTCGCCTCGAAACCAGTCGATTTTCCTTGACATTTCGATGATTCGACACCTCGCGAATATATCTGAATACCATTACTAGACAGAAATTTATTTGTAATCCTCCCACGTTTCGAGGATATTAAGCTGATTAGTCATCAAATTTTGTTATCAGACGCATCGATACTCTGATTCAGTTGTTCTTAATGTTTTCAAAATCACGGAACATTTACAATTTTACTAAATTAATTTACTAAAAATTACAATTTGTCGAAATCGGGAAAGAAAAGGTGAGCCTGTAAATGTTGTGTGTATGCTGAAAATTTCATCGAGATATAGGGAAGCATCCATCCAAAAATGGGTTAACGAAGAGGTTAATGTAATCAACGGGTTAATAAAAGATTCGCCTTACGTGTCGCTAGAATTATATTCGATGGTCGGACAAAGGTGGTTCTGCTGGTAGAGTATCGGTGCCGTGTTCCTGGCCAGGTATATACGAGGTGATCTCGAAGCGATGTGTGTTTCCTCCCCTCGTTCCTCCAATGGCGATTGTTTTCTTTTTCTTCCTGTTCTTCCCCACTCTTACCTTGCCATCGCGTCCTCTTCATCCTTTTTCTCCCTCAGGTCGCTTCTTGGTCTCTCTTTTAGCCCATAAACAACCCGTGGCCGACGTTTGCCGAGGTTATTGGTTTTTGCAAGGGGCACGACAGGGCCGTATACACTCGTCGAGCAGACCCGACTTCTCTTCCCTCCCTCGTGTCTTATCTATACCTCGTCGTTCCTCCTCGTCCTTCGTACGGGCAAAACGTACACACGCGGTATGCGGTTCACGTGGGGGCAACTGTGCAACTCGCACCAGACTAATTCCCGCAGACAAACACTTTAATTATAACCTTACCACGCGCACGGCTACGTGCCGGCCGATATCACGATATCGATGCTTTTATTAAACATGACCGCCTTAAGGGGATGCAAACGGGGTTATCCGATTGCTCGAATTTCCCTGAGTGGTTCGTTCTAAAATTTTTCTCGACCTCCATTAAAGGATTTTGATTTTAATTGAAAATGTACGAACGTGTTCGCTTGTTTATTTTGAAATGATTCGAACGTTGTCGCGATTGAATTGCTCGGTATTTTGCAAGAGAGAGAGAGAGAGAGAGAGAGAGAGGATCGAATCTGGTTGATGTTTATGGGCATGCTCACGAAGCAACCGGAATTATCGGGAACGTGTTTGGCGTGTCACGGTGTCATCCATTTCGTCAGCATTAAGCCCGTGTAAGAAGGGTATCGCGTGTTTGGTACAAGACCTTCGGATACTGCGGTCGAGCATTGTGTATTGTACATCGGTGCTTATAATGCTCCCTACCCGAGGTCAATACACCTACAATACACCCGGTTTCCATCGAGTATTGGCTCTCACAGACATATTTAGTTACAACGTTCTCCGGTGAACGTTCAGAAATGTAAGATTGCGTTTCTAAGATCATCGTAACCCACATACCATTTCGAATCAACAAGTATCGTGTTGTCGACATGTAACACCGGCCCGATTGATGACGAGGACAAGGCTGAAGGAAATACCAGATCAACGTAGAATTTTACCTAGATACCTCGCGTCGTTTCAGTTTCAAATTCGCTTTAAATCTAAGAAAATTTCGGTATATTTTGGTACCGGTGGCCGAACCGACGAGATGGAATGTTTGCGTACATTGCAGAGCAAGCGATATATTTCAAGAATGCGTCGACTCCGAGCTCGATCGAAGATTCAATTAAGTAGATAATTAGCAGGCGATATCTCACGAATGTGTTAGTGCCGAGTTAAATCAAAGTATCGATTAAATATAATTGACGTCGAAGTCGTAACATTCAGAGGTATAGCTTTGCAATGTATAAAATTGATGTTGATGCTCTTCGTTGATATATCGAATACTGGCCGACTTTCCGCGATCGACGAAAGGTTAATTTAATTACATCGACCACCATCGGCATCGTTTTTCCTCCCTCTACATTGTTTCGCCGGTGAAACCGTGTCAGTTTTTTCCAGCCACCCGTACGTCTATTGAACACGGGACAGATGTATGTACGCATGCGTTCAGGAAAAATCGGGGAAAAAACATTGCCTGCGTTTTCTGCATCGTCGTCTCGTCGATTCGTAACGTGTCACGTAGGTGGCTAACGTACATCCAGATACGGGTTTTCGAAAAATAATGGCGGTATCGAGTCCTGCCGTCGATTCATTTTTACCCAATTTCACGCACCGCTGCACCGGCCAACCCTGTCCCTCGCACCCTCGCAACACATCGCGCTTCTCCACCTCCCTTCCTCGAAAAATAAAAATAAAAAAAAAAAATTCGTCTCTCTTTTTATCTCCTGTCTTGGTGGCGAATTCTCGTTTCTCTGTTTCTATTCGTCGAACACCCGGGTGTTCTCTCTTAATTTTCGTTGCGCCCGTGTTTTTGGCATTGCGGTTTATTTCCGCGGTGAACCCTCGGCGTACGCGTAATGCGTTTTCCAATTGCGCGCCATCCGCACCCACCGCTACCCCTTTCCCCGTTTGCTATCCAGACCAACGATTTCGTTAGAAATTTATTCGGTGCGTGCCTTTGTGCCGGCCTAAATGAACGCAGCCGGCCGCATTTTAATGCACTTTCCGTAAATTCGTTGCAACGAAATACTGTTCGTCTATCGTGTTTGTCTGTCTACCTATCGTTCACCTGTTTCTCGGATAATAATCATTAACAATTATATTAGAACACTTATAAAGTGTTTCCGTTCAAGATTAATCCGATAGTTTGGAATTGACAGAGCTGGTGGAAAAATCACGGTCGGAAAGGTGGCCAGCTGAAAATGCATGGAATTTAGATGGATTTCATTGTTTCGTTATGATCGGGACTATTCGACACGGTGTTCCGGTTCGATTTGACTGGTCGTAATGAGATTAACCGAAAGCGGAGGATATCCCTTGTTCGATGTAATTACAGTAGGTAACGTTGCGTAAATCGTGTCAGAGGTAATTAATAATTTTACATTAATTACGCGGCCGGAATCGGTCAACATTTTAATCAACGTATACGTATTCGCGTAAACGTTCGTATCAGTTTTTCCCGTGAATTCTATCGAGATCCGACGAATCGAATACGGTCAATTTCCAGGGAAATTTTTTTCTCCCCCGTCTTTGAAGGCTCGAAATCTCGACGATCCGTCAGCGTGATTCTGGTCCGATTCTTTCGTTAATATCTGGCCCTAGTGTCACTGATAAATTATCCAATTTACACGGTTATCCGGCTGAGCCGTGAAATTATTTATGCCTGGCACACCGAGCTGACGAAAAATTCCGTACGCCGCGATACGCCGGTTAAATATGACGCGATACGGCCTCCCTTTCAGCCTCCGGGGATACAGCGCGTACACGATAACGTGGATACGAAAATATACCGCGGGGGTAATGGTTTTTTTTTTCGTATTTTTAGGGGAGACACCTTGCTGGTGTTTCCGCTCATAAACCGTAACAGCGTTTTCGAAACTCTCTCCATCTCTTTTTCTCCCTTGATCCTTTAAATCCGGAATAGGAATGCTGATAGAGTGGCTGAAACAGAGTATCGAATTTTATTCGAAACGCCTAAAAGTCTCGATCGAGTGTCGACGAATGGTGAATCTTGAGCTTCTGATAGATCATCGAGCATTGATAGAACGGTGAACAAAACTTTGAATGAATTAAAAGCGAACAGCGGCTGTAGTAAACGCGAGACCATTCCCAATTTTCCCGCAATTATACCCCGTTGTTCAGAGTTTTGTAGGACATTTTCCGTGACTAACGGGTAAACGTCATTGTTGCCTGGTGAAAATGGATTGATGGAAATAATAGGCGTGAGGGGGACAAAGAGAGCTCGGTCACGTCACTGCCGGCCAGTATCAATTATTTTCAAATTACGAATTTCACCGTAGTATAGTACAATTGATTTATCCACGTCGTTGGGCACAGACGATGCAATTGACCTGTGTTGCACTCTCTATACGGATGCCCGGAGGGTGGACACCCTCCGTGAAAAACCGACGCGTTATTTCTTTTTCCTCGCTTCGACGCCCCTTGGCCAGCCATTAGGTTTTCGAAAGTTTTTCGACAATACGCCAATCGAATTACGTTCGAACGATATTGAACGCGTAAGCGTTAAGCGTTCGATTTCGATTCTTAATCTTTTTCTAATTGCGCTTCCATCTAAATGACCACTGATGGTGAATTTCTCGGTCCACAGCGTGCAGCTTGCGAAGAAATCGAAATGGTCGAGCTGTGCGGAAGCGGACCGCCGAGTTCAGCGATGGGAGTGATGGGGATCGGTTCGGTAGTATCCGCGGCTACGTCGTCCTCGTCCTCGTCGACCACGACCACCGCGGCATCGTCCTCGGCCTCAGGACGCGCGGGTGTCCTGGAAACTCAGGTCCGCGGCCAATGGTACCGTGTATTCGTCTCTCTCGAGGATGATTACTTGAGTATCTCCTTGGACGAGAGCTGCGAGACGGGCAATAACGCCTTGAACAACGGCAACATCAATAACAACAACGTGGATAGCCTGAACGATCCAGACGTGCCGGATTCGGTGGCGAATCAGAAACGGATCGTACGCGTAGTGAAAAGCGACAACAACGGCCTCGGTATCTCGATCAAGGGCGGCAAGGAGAACAAAATGCCGATCTTGATCTCGAAAATCTTCAAGGGGATGGCGGCGGACGCGACCGAACAACTGTACGTGGGCGACGCTATCCTGGCGGTAAACGGGGAGGATCTGCGCGAGGCGACACACGACGAAGCGGTGAAGGCGCTCAAGAGGGCTGGCAAGGTCGTCGAGCTTGAAGGTAAGTGTATTTACCAAATGTTTTCTCTTTTCCTTGGCCGTTTGGCCGTCTTTTTGCATCGACAACTACCTACGCGGACTGACCGGTATGCGTTTACCGGGTATACTTATTTGCAAACGGGTCTGATCCTTTCTATGTACTCCGTAAATGTACAGCGCGAGGAAACGCGCGACATTCCTAAGTTTTTCGTCAAAGTAAAAGAAAAATTCTGATATTTGTTAAAGAAATTTATTCCACTGTGTTTCTTGAAACAACAGAACATTGAATTTGAGGTAAATCTACCGGTCTTCGCGCATTTAACTCGAACAACTCGACAAACAAATTAATTCGGCAATAATTCTAGCGTTTCCTTTGAACGTTAATTCGTACGGATAATTAATAGCCGGGTCGCGTGGAAATCAGCCTGAGCGTCGGCCTGGCTCCGAGAATTCCGAGCGTAAACGCAAACGCAGATTCGTTTAGCCGCGCGTCGGTTGAAGCGTCAAAACGTTTCGGCCAGAACTAGAAGTAACTAGCTAGGAACATCCTCGATGCCAGACGAGCTGGGTAGGGGACATTAACGAGCTTTTCGCTCCAATTATCCTCGAGTGCACGGCGCATTAAGTACCGACCTACGGATTCCTGCCAGTTTCTGTCGCTCGTTTTAATATCGAATTCCTCCGTGTCCCCTCCTGTACGTACAGTCACGATGTTCGAAAAAGTCGTCGTTTTGAAGAAGGCTCGTGAAAAACTAGCAATCCTACATTTTCTTCTTCGCGAGTTCTATTTTTAATTACCGAATGGATGGAAGGAAACGTTAAAACGTCCCTAGAATCTAAAGGGTTAACGTACCATTTCGGATATCTTGGGTTTTTCTGCCAGTGGGTATCTCGTCGAGAGCAAAAAAGCTTCGCGATTCTTCTCGCGCAACTCCGTAAGGACGGAAATCAGTGACTTGGCAGTTTTCCTACGAATTCCTGCGCTATCGTACACCATCTCTAGACGCGCTATTATCAAAAAGTGCGAGGCTGAAAGAAACAGCTAGGGTGAAAAGGTCGGCTAGAAAACGTGTACAAGATGCCTGGAGCGTTAAATGCCGCCCTCACCCTTTCCCTCTCATCCCCGTTTTTCTTTCCGCGTCTTTATTTTACTTCCTTTGTGACCGACTTCTATCGTTTGTTTTCCCCGTACGAATCTCTTACGAGACGGCTCGCTGAAACGGGACGCGCCTGTTTCCCTCGGTTCGCGCACTCTCTTATCCTACCGGCTGCACTTCGCATTCAACGTTCATCAGGCGACACGCGTACACCTCGTTCCCGAGGCTTTCACGCAGCCGGCTGCCGATTGTATGCATGCGAACGCACCTGTACACCGTTATTTCTCTCGGTGTCTGGAAAAAAAAAGCTCGACGCGACAGAGAAATTCGCGAGAGAACGATCGTTATCGAGCCGTTTCGGCTGCCGGTCGTTTAACGAAATCCGTTCGCGAATCGATGAATCTCCCCGCCCGTGAATGACCCGAATCGACAGCTCGTTGCGTTTTGTACGATATCGCGTTCGGCCTGCTTTTCACGGGAAAATTTTCATTCCCTCGCGCGTTCACCTATCCCAATCGTTTTTCACGGTCGATTCTACCTGGATGCAGCTGATGCCTCCTGACAATACGCTATACGGTTCAAGTTTGTATCTCCGAAAAGCGGAACAAAAACGATGGGATGAAGGTATTCAACTAATAATTAACAATTTTATTTATCGATCTTCTATATGGAGAACTCGTTTCCTTCGGGCAATTTTGTTCGTCGACCGGAGACATCCCGTCGTCGGCGGACAGCTTTTCTTTTATTCAGACGATTTCGGTGGTTGCCGTACGATTTCTCGACGGGCACGTAGCCGCGCACCCTGTCTCGCACGTGCAACACTCCGCGCTCTCTTCTTCTTCGTTGCTAGCTACCTTTCGTCTGGAGAGGTCGGCCGGTTGCCAGTTTCACGTGGGTGACGCGTGGAATGCGATACTCTGCACTTTACGTCCGTGCGAACGTGACATGCAAAATCCTAGAACGCGAGCAAAGGAAGGGAGTTCACCCTTGCTGTTCTTCCCACTTATGTTTCGTTTCGGGTCGTGTAGACCCGAGGAGGGTAGCGTTACGGGTATATAGAGAAGGATTACCGGTTGACCCAGGAATCGGATCGAGTAAAGAATAGGAATATAGAAGAAGAAAAAGAGTTTCGGAATACATTACCGTAGGATTTTCATCGAAACTCTGTCGCTCGCGAGGGGTTGCATCCCGTTTAAGCGGGATCCCGCCGAAAACTTCCGGTTTCACGGGCCGGGATTGCAGCCGAGTTGGCCCCGCCAGGCTGACAAAGTTTCCGAAACGGCTTGGTCGAAGAGAAATCGAATAGAACTTACTCCCTGATAAACGAAGTCGAATTTATTGCCTCGCCGCCTGAGCGAGATTTACCTTGATTTATTGTATCGTCCCTCTTTTTATTCCCTACATTTTTTTTGTTTCTGCCTTACCCTTCTTCCGCTGTTTCTTTTCTTTCGGCGTGTATGAACGGGAAGATCGTTGAAGCGAATCGAGCGAGAGAACGATTGTTTCGGGGAAGATTGATTCGAGCGCGATTCCCTTGCAAGAAGTTTCAAACTTCTCTCTGTCCCTCCCCCGTATGCATGAACTACCCCGTGATCCTTTAATTCGACCCTTTCCCAGACACCTATAGAGCTATCTTCGCCGTTTGTCGCTCCAGTTTCAATTGTCGATCGTTTCGACAATGAAACGAGTGTCAGCCGTTCGGCAACTCGATCGAAATTCACTTCCGAAATCGATATTCGCTAATGGCCTGGATAACTTGACGATTACACCAGTTTTCTACTCGCTCAAATAACTCGTTCGTGTGTATTATACTCGTTGATTATTCATTGCAGTTATTGAGCAACTATTTCATTGCGCGTATGTTATATCTATCACCGGATTAGGTTGCTCGAGCGATTGTTGCGCGCCTACGTTTTGCGTAAGAACGCCTGTTAATACGTATCCGGCAGGTGATACAGGTGTTGCGTGATTCGAGGGGGAAGCGTCTTTGATCGAACGGCCTTCGTGACTTGTTTGGCAACCTTCGAACAAGCTGCGCGAATTGTGCAATCGTTGCAGTCGCTGCAACGATGATGGTAGATTCTTAGGAAAAAAGGCTTAATCTTTATTCGTTCAATCGGAGTGGAAAGATTGTTCATTCTTGGTATTATTTACAGCTGGTATCAGCTGTTCCGAATGTGGGTAGACATAAAATGTTGGCCGAACTAGGGGAACGTCTGCGGTTCCAGTTCTCGTATCTATTTGTAATTGAAACGCGTAATTTCAGTCGGCCATTGTCCCACGAAGTAGTCCCTGTGACGAATGACGAGCGACATCGTCAGGGAAATTGCATCTTAAATCCTGCCGCTCTGCATTCCTTTCGCTGTGAACGTCAGTCGAGAATCTCCCTTCTCCTCCTTCATCCCCTTTCCGTCACTCGCATATTCCTTTTCATTATCTTCATCGCGACGGTTTATGAGCTTTCTCGCTATCGTTGAAAAACACTTTCACCCTCGAACCTTTCAATGATTCATCGATTTCAGGTCGTTAATCAACAGTATTACTCGAACGTTTACAATAGCGGATAATTTATAAATAGATTGGATTCCGCGTGGATTACGCATTCGTATCGTGAAAATCTGTTTTTCGTGAAAACACCGAATCGCGATGTAGCGGTAATGAGCCAAAGGGGCGAAGAGGAAACGGTGACGGGGTGTAGAAACGGTAGTGTAATACCGATTAGCGAAATTCGAATAATTACGTTCATGCTAGGAACCAATTAACAGGTGACGGAAATTAGCTGGTCCCGTTTTATAGCACATCATGATAATTAGCTTCCACTCTCTTTGGTCGTTCGCTGCGTAACCGTACATGCGGTTAATAGAGGTTCCGTGCGGCCTCGTATTTCGTTGGCTATCATAAAGAAACCAGTTACGGTGTTCTTAACGTAATACCAATTGTCGGTAGGTGTTTCGGCTAGAAGGAGAGTCACGGATGATGAAAAGACGCGAAACACGAGCAGCAATTTTTACTTAACGACCCAGGATACGTTCGCCTCCTCTGTTACAAGCTACACCTATAAAACACGGCCGTCTGGTGTTGATATCTCGCCTACGATCTCGTTCATCTATTTGTAGACACCTTCGTAACGCTCTGTGAACCATTTTGCTTCTTCTGATAAAAGATTTTCTGATAACGACTTTTCGTAAAAATAGATCAACCATTTTGGTTCAAACATTGATGGTAATTAGTTTCGGAGTAACTAAACCGAAGGAGATAGGGACTTGGAAATTATCTCTACTGTCGCCTGGAGCTATCCTCCCTTATAGATATGTACTAAGAATCCGTCCGGAAGGACGGCGACGCACGGTACTTAAGTAGAGCATGCACTGAAACATTTTGCAACGCATGCATAGATCTTCAAATAGATCTCTACGCGAGTTGCAACTGATCACTAAATAATTTATCAAGTTGTCCCGATCAATTTGCGACTATTACACAACGAAAGTCACCGCCGAAGAGTTAAATTTATCTGAATGGTGTACGGAACATTTTGAACCACGTAGAACGTGCTTTTTTTTTCTTCTCGATTCCAATCAATTACGTGATTCATCGTTGAGGTACGACTTCGACCTCAATTTCTGTTCCTTTATTTGTTCGGGGAAAATTCTTTTTTATTTTCTTCCCTTTCTCGCTCGTTCAACATACAGAGAGCCTCGATTCGCGCCGGAGTTGCTTTGCTTATTTTTCCTCGATTTCTCTGTACTCGTCGGTATTCCTTCCGTGCGCTGATTCAGCCTTCTATTAATTTTCTTTTATTGTCATTCTACAGATGCTCGTGCCTCGTTCGGTCTCCGCGGTAAAGGTTCTCTATTTACCTTAAATTCAGATCAATATTCACAGCCAGTAATCTCAGCCAGTTCCATAAGTCATTTTCCTCGTTCAT